TATCTATCTATCTATCTATCTATCTATCTATCTATCTATCTATCTATCTATCTATCTATCTATCTATCTATCTATCTATCTATCTATCTACTCCCTCACTCCATTTCTCCACATACCCTATCCTTTTCTTTTCTTTAGTACATTTCTAGGGAAATTGTTGACACAATATTATACATAATATGTGTGTATAATGTGACACATAAAATCGTCATATCGAGCCTAAAAGAAATATTAACTTTTTCTTAGCCCTTAGTCTACATGACTGTTGGGTCACCAAGGATGATCGGGCAACCACTTTTCTCCATCCCTCTCTATTTTCAGCCTTTCAGGGTGTACAACATTACAAGACGGAGACAACGTTTTCGAAAATCTCTTCCTTGCAGGAAAGTTCTCTCACGGCCCGCTTTTCCGATTTTCAAAATGAGCAATGTTGGGTCTGGTGCTCTCTTATGTAGTCTAACTCCCATTTCAACACGATCATTATACCTACTTTATTTGTGAAAGTTCGTCACTTTGGTCGCCTAAAACTTCCGAACACTTAACTTTTGAATTTGAGAAAAATTAACGGTTGTTCAGAATCATTTAAAGGTTATATTAAGGATTCTGAAGTCACTGTAGTTTAATTTTCAGTTTTTCGTTAGTTTCGTTTAGATCTAATCTTGGGAAAGTCCGTCTTTTCTAAGACGCCATTGTAAACAAGTTAGGCTTCCTTTCACAAGCAGTGTGCACTGGTACACAATGACTTGACGATCGATTCTTTTGAATCCGTTCATCGAAAGGGTAGCCGACTAGTCTTTTATAAGGCACGATTTCCAGATACAATACCTCAAATAAGACTCATTCAAACAGGAGGGAAAATATTTACTCATGGATATTGACGAATACACAGTGCCCGCGGAAAAAGTTTGGGGTGGGGAGGAAAATATTTTAGTGTTTGATAATGAAGGAAAGGTATAATGTCCGGTTGGTGGTGGCATTTTGTTGTTGTTGATGTTATTGCGGCTGCTGCTGTTGCTGTTATTGTTGTTGTTGTTGTTGTTGTTGTTGTTGTTGTTGTTGTTGTTGTTGTTGTTGTTGTTGTTGTT